CATATTGTAGGCTGCAGTCCTTGACACTCTGCAGCAGGCGCTTCAGGTCCTCCTCAGTTTCAGCAAGCAGGGTTGTGTCATCCACATAACGCAGATTGTTGATAAATCGTCCACCAATACACACACAAAAATAATAAAATTTTTTTAAAAAAGAAAGAAATTATGGTACATTCACACAACAGGATACTATGCAGCACAGAGAAGCAATAACTTTGTAAATTATTACCTAACTTGGGAGGGACTGGAGAGCAATATGCTTAGTGAACTAACTCAGTCCTACAAGGATAAATATTGTGTAAGACCGTTATTGTAGAATGAGTATAAGGATCCAGGAGGGGTGGGAGACTCTGGAAGCAAAGGGATGAGGATGTGCAGGGAGAAGGGGGATTCATCATTGGGTGGTACGATTCGATGGGGGGGGTGAGGGAAATGGAATGAATTTGTATTTGAGTTTTGTAAAAAAACTAGAAGAAGGAAAAAGAAAGAATGGGTTTGGGGTCCTCTTCTGCTTCATGAGAGTGAAGATGAGGTGTTCATACTTTTGTATGGTGTGTGCCTTCCATAAAACTTGTTACGACGTCAGCACATTTTTTAAAAAAAGGGAAAAATGGGCTTGAACCACTGAACATCAATGACTGAAGACCAGACCACTTGTGAGATGACGATGGACATAGTACATGAAAAGAGCAAAAGGTTAAAAAAAAAAGAGCAAAAGACATCATTACAAAGACAGAGGTGAAAGGAAAATCCAAAATAGATGTTAGAAGAGACCCTGAAAATTGGACTAGAGCTCTGAGAAGCCAAAATAAAGGGAAGGGACGTCAAAATAAAAAGAGATGAACAGAAAATGTCAAAGGGCAGTTCGAGAAGACACAACAAATCCTAACAGAATGCTCGCTTGGCATTTCTCAGGGTGAAAGAAATTAACAATAAACTCAAGCCCTGAGTTGAAATACTGAGAGATACTATGGGCAAAATCTTGAATGATCCAGAAGGCATCAAAAGAAGATCAAAAAGAAGTGGCCAACAACTGAAACATTTCAAGAAGTGTCGTATGATCAAGAGCCAGTGGTGGTGAAGGAAGAAGTTCAAGCTGCACTGACATGTTTCAAACAGAAGATGCAGCCCCGGGCGTGCTCACCAGCCTGTGCCCGGAAATTCGGAGGAAAGCTGCCTGGCTGACTGACTGGAAGAGATCCATAACTGTTCCCATTCCCAAGAAAGGTGAGCCAAGCAGACTGTGGAAATTATTGAACAATATCATTTTTCTCACATGCAAGCAAAATACTGCTGAAGATAATTTTTAAAAAATGGCTAGAACAAGACACAGAGGACTGTCAGCAATTCAAGCAGGGGTTAAAGAGGCCTCATTATTCTCCTGGTAGACCAACTTCTCACACCATCCACCAGAGTAAGCTTGCTGCGTCACATGATGTGAACCAAGGAATCCTCGAGCTTCTCCCCTGTTTCTCCTCCCTGCTCACTGTGTGGATTTCAACATGGGACGTCAGGAGGTCAGAGGATTACAGGACACAGACTTTCTCACGCAGAGTGACTGTGCCCCCAGGGGACACTGACTGATACCTGGGGACATCTGTCGGTGCCATGACTCGGTGGGGAGTGTTAGCAGCATTGAGGAGGTGGAGGTCGGGGTGCGGCTCACCACTTTCTAAGGCAGAAGACAGCCCGCCCCAGTGAATGATCCAGCCCCGAATGTCAGCAGTCCAAGGGCCTGAGAATCCTGATGCTAAATACTTGGCAAAACCCCCAGAATTCAATCCCTGCCACAGAATAATCCCTACCGCAGAATAAATTTGTGCTGGTCAGATGGTGGGAACTGGGGGGACCCTGCAGCTTCTGTGGTTTCCATTCTCTCCCTCCCACCCAGCTCGGTGTGTGGACTTCGGGGTGGGGGCAGTATCATCCCAGGATGCCAGGTCACGTAATTTTAGGATGCCGAGTCTCCTGGGGGTCAAGAGAAGTCCCTAACCCAGGGGTTCTTCCCAACTAGGGGTGACTGACCTCCAGGGGACATGTGGCAAACATCTGTCCCATCTCAGTGGAGGGGGTGCTCTTGGTGACGGCGTGGGGGCCCCCCGAGAACAATCCAGTTCCGGTGGCAGCAGTGCCGAGGGGAGGCTGCCTTTTTGTGGGGACAGGAAGGAAGACGTCAGCCTTACCGAGTGACGCCAGGTTCCAGTAGGTCTCCAGCATCACCTCCCGATACAGGGTTCTCTGAGAAGGGTCCAGCAACACCCACTCCTCCGGGGTGAAGTCCACAGCCACATCCTTGAAGTCCACGGATTCCTGAAACATCCGTAGGTTCTGGTGATCCCCACCCAAGTCCACAGGGGGAGGGGGTGTGGTGAGGTCACCCGGCCATCTGACCGCAGGCTCAGGCCCAGGGCCTCCCCTGAGTGAGTGGACCCAGGCTTGTGGCTGTACAGGTTCTATACAGGATGACAGAGACTGCACGTGACTGCTTCCATCGCACTGGGGGCTGCTTTACTCGGAACTAGCCCTGGTTCCCACACAGGCCCCCGGACGTGAATCACACTCGGAAGCTCATTCCTTCTTTCCCCAGACAGTCAACACCACAGTCAGACTTCCCTGTTTCCCTCGTAGGACCCTGCACAACATGAAGCAGCAAGTCGGCCTGGAAGAGGGTCCCCATCAGATTCTGGATGCTGGGGCCGCGGTGGCATCTCCTGGGCAGCCCGAGTCCCCCGCGAGGCCCAGAGATGTTAAGGGGCTAGGAGCCAAACTCCGGGCCAGGAAGGAGAGGCGGTGCGCTCGTGGACGGATAAAGGGAACGCTGCAGAACGAGGAGTTTCTCACTCACCTGTGACGATGCTGGCAGAAGGCCGGCAACCACCTGCTCCCGCTCCACGTTCCCCTTGCGTGGCTGGCCGAGGCCCTGGGCAGGCGGGGCTGGGGCAGACAGGGAGAAAGGAGCGTGACTCAAAGGACACAGAGCTGCTGTTGAACAGCCCCAGCTCGTGGTGACCCCAGTGTCAGAGGAGGACGGGACCCCCCGGGCTTTCAGCCGTGCCCTCCTGGAAGCAGATCGGCAAGCCTTGCTTCCGAGGTGCCCTACGCTCTCAGCCAGAAGCCGAGCGTGCTCACTGCACCGCCAGGGGCCCTCAGGTGACACCCAGCCCTCCCAGATCCTCAGAGCCACAGACCTGGAAGTTGCCAAGCCACCACCGCCCCCAAGATGCCACCTCGGGCCACGTCTGAGGCCACAGCCCCGAGAGTCTGATCCCAGGAGAGTGATGGCCTCCTATGGCTGCAAACTAACGCTGACCTGGACAGGGCTGGCTGCCCAGCTACCTGAGGCTATGAAATCACAAATGGGGATCTGCATTTGTTGTCCCAGGAAATTCCCTCCTACATTTCTGGACGGCTGTGTCGGACATCAGTGAACCAGGGCTCCTGGGCCTCCGCTCTCCTGGCCAGGCTCAGCTAGGACCTCTCACTGCCCCGGGACCGTGCTGGACGCAGGAGCCTCCCAGGACTCCTGGGCCTCCGCTCTCCTGGCCAGGCTCAGCTAGGACCTTTCGCTGCCCCGGAACCGTGCTGGATGCAGGGGCCCCGCAGACATCTCTGTGGGTACCAACTGGCTGAAACTCACCGTGCGTGGCGTTCAGGTCAGCGGCTGCCATCGTGGGCGGTGGTCAGCAGGGTCAGCCTGCGAGGCTGGGCAGTGGCAATGCCAGCAGACCCCTTGTCATTCCATTTTCCCATGGCCCCTCGGTCAAGATGCCTCTTAGCACCGTGGTGTCTGGAGACTTGTTTCAAAAGCCAGTCATCACTGTAAAAACTTAACACCAACAAAAAGCAAACCAGTCAATAAAAAAAACGCCTCTTGGACTGTGGTATCTGTGAGTTCTGTCTCAGCCATCAAAACCCAAACAGTTAGGCAGTTTCTCGGAAAGCCGAACCTAGACGCCTAGTGGGATCTGTGAGATGAAGGCCCTCAGCCGCGCTCCCAGCTGGAATCAAGCTTGTACCTGCAGTACCGTTACGGCCAAATTGATCCACATGGTACCACCAGGGTCCTCAGGCCCTTAACAGTCAGCCATATGACATCAGAAGGGCAGCACTGGGCCAGGACGGGCTCAGAAGGCAGGAAAAGAGAGGACAGACGGGTGGACAGGACAAGAACCACACAGAGAAAGTGAGGGACTACGCACTTACAGGATTGCAATCAGTGCTATCAAACAGTGCACTGATGAACACTGAACAGAGTCTAATTCTGCTCTGTAAACTTTCCACTCATCTTGTTTAAAACAGCAAACAACTGTGCCCAGAACAACAGTGTGGCTGTGGAGTTTACTATGCAGAATGGATGAACCTGACTGTGCCGTGTGGATGGGTGGGGATATGCAAATAGGGCGCGTCAGCCTGTCCACGAGGGGCCTGGTTAGTCCTGGCATTAGGCTGGTGGACCCAGCAGCAGGAGGAGGAGATCTCCACCACTGAAGCGGCAGTGATACAATGTAGCACATCCTTCAAGCCCAGAAATCCATGTCCACACCTACCGCAGCATCCTGGAACAACATGAGATGGAGCTGACCTTGGGGCTCCTGCCCCCCACAGACAGAACCAGAGCTAAGAACCTTTGCCTAAGTTTGTTGGACAACGGGGGCAAAGCCGGTATTGGCAACACTGAGACCTTTGTAACCGTGGCTTTAACCCACAAGGCAGAAGGCTGAGGTGCCCGTGAGCACATTCTGGAACTGTCTTGACTGGACTCTGCTGCTAACCTCAACTATCACCTTTTACCTCGCCTGACGTGGTTCTCTGTCCTCTGTGGACTACGGCATCAAATTCTGGCCCGAGCAAGAAGACAGACTGGTGCTGAGAGGAGCAGAAAGAGGGACCGGAGTGTGGGGCCATGTCTGGCCTCATGGGGTTTATGTTGGGATGCTGTTGAGGGGACAGTCCCTTTTGTGAAGCCGTCTCCACACAGCTCTTGCTCTTTTCACAATGGCCCAGCAAGCTCAGGTCTCTGTGTGTATCTGGGCAGGAATGCAGACGCCTGCATGCGTGAGTTCACTGCAGCCAAAACACGGGCACGCCCAGAAGTCCAGAGCAGAACGCTGCACACGGCCAGAGCGGTGCACGCGGCCAGAGCGGTGCACATGGCCAGAGTGGTGCACGCACGTGTGAATTACTGTTGCTGTGTTGTCAAGTGCCATCAAGTCGGTCTCCTAGCAACTGTGTGAACAGACTGAAACATGGCCCCACTGCGCTTTCTCCCCAAGCTCCACCGCGCTCAAGCCACTGCTGTGGTCATCGTCAGCCTATCTCACTGAGGGTCTTCCTCTCCTTCACGACCCTCTACTTTTTAAAAAATTTTTAAAAGTATTATTATTTTGTGTGTGTGCGTGTGTGTCCCGTCATATCGAATCTGACTGGTACAGGACGAGATCAGCCCTTCTCCGGCAGAGCACCTGACAGATTCGAACCACGTACCTCTGGGACTGCAGTGCAGCTTCTTGCCACTAGGCCACCAGAGCTCCCTGACCCTCTACTTTCCCAAGCACGACATGTACAAAGCTCACAGCCCACCACCGCAGAGAGAGGGCAGTCCTGCTGCGTGCACACCAGGATGAACCCTGAAAACGTCATGCTACGTGCAAGTCAGACACAAAAGGCCAGGACGTCTCACTCATGTGACGTGGTTACGGAGGACGGGGAGCTCAGGGGTGAGGTCACACACCGTCACGGCGGTGGGATGTTTCGGAAGAGGGTTGCCTAACACAGAGAGCTTGTTGAGTTGGTGTATGTCTTGTTGCGTGTACTTTTACCGTAACAGAATGACAATAGAGACAGGCACCCCCACGCTCGCCCCGCCTTCCCCTTTGCAGTACAAACTGTCTGCTTCCAATGCCACCAATCTTTTCCCAAGACGTCCAGGGTGGAGGGTCCTGGCTGAAGCCCAAGGGGAACAGTCCCGTTCTCAGGGAAGCACTAGCAGAAAGGATGAAGTTGGAATCCGCCCGGATTCGCCTTAGAAGAATGATCTTCATGATCTGCTTCCCAAAAGGTGCAGGCACAGAAAACCCAAAGGAAAAAGAAAATCGTGGGGAGCAGCACTCGGCTTACAGGGGCTTCCTGGGAGGCAGGTGGACTTCCTGACAACAAACAGCAGCAAAGCAGACACGCTCCGGTCGATCAGAATGAAAACGGGGGCTACAATGAGGCAGGACTCCAAGAATAACGGGAAGCCCCTGGCTGGGTCCACGAGGGGTCATCACGCGACGCACAGTTTCCTCAGGGCCACTGGCATCTCCACGTCAAGCTTTCATGTCACCACCGTCTGAGCAAGGGGCCCGTTTCCTGGGAAGGTGCTGGGTTCTTTTCCGGGTTTCTGCTCCTGTATTCACAGCTCGCTTCGGTAAGTAACTTTGGTTCCAAAAAGAGAAAAAGCAGTGGCCAGCTGCTGAGAATGGAGGTATGTCCCCTATGTGTGTGCTAGAACCCTCAGTCCTCGACTGGTAGATGTAACCTCAGGGGGATCAGGTCTTCTGGACTGTGTCAGAGCAGACGCAAACGAGGAAGAGAGATGTCACAGGGAGTTTACCGAGGACATCAATGTGGTGACAGAAGCAGCGCAAAGAGTCTTTGTCCAGAACTCCCAAAGAAAAGTCCTTCCTGGGGTCGGTGCCCCAGGTGCAGGCTCAGACCTCACGGACTGAGAGAAGACATTTCTTGGGGCTCCTTTTGTTACAGCAGCATTCAGAGACTAAGACAACAGAGTGTGTGACTGTCGTCCTGTCTCTAGATAATCTACAGTAAAAATGTTAATACCGGCTCACAGCCGAAAACAAACTAGGATGGCTTTGTGCACTGTAATACCGAGGAGTGTGCACTTCAAAATCCCTCCCAAGGTACACCTGTTGCTGCCCAAAGTCACCGACTCAGGAAAAGAACACAGACAGACAAAGGAGAAGCAGAAACTGCATCGACTCAAGCCTGATTCAGAATGAAAAACGTGCATCACCAACAGTTGTTGTTAAATGTTACTCAGTCAAGTATAAGTCACAGTGCCCCCTGTGAACAGACCTGAACCCCGGCCCGGCCTGTGCCGTCCTCATCAGCTCTGACATACTTGAGCCCCTCGCTGCGGCCACTGCCTCCGTCGTCCCCTCGAGGGTCTTTCTCTCTTTCACCATCCCTCCACCTTTCCAAACGTGATGTCCTTTTCTAACAACATGCCCAAAGACAAGGCCTCGACACCCTTGAAAAGACTAAAAAGCACTCTGGCTGCACTTTCTCCAAAACATCGGTGTGTGTTTTGGGCAGTCCACAGGGCATTGAGCGCCCTTCGACGACACCACAACTCAAAGGCATCAGTTCTTCTGTCACTCTTATTCACTGTCCAGCTCTCAGATATATAGGAGGTGACTGAAAAGCCTATGGTCTAGGGGAGCTCTGGTGGCCCAGTGGCAAGAAGCTGCATTGCAATCCCAGAGGCTCATGGTTCAAATCCACCAGAAGCTCTGTTGGAGAAGGAGGGACAATCTCCTCCAGTACCAGTCAGATCTGATTTGACGGTACACACACAAAAATTAAAAAAAAATAAAAGCCTATGGTCTTAATCCGGCACACCTCAGTCTTGAACCTGACATTGCTCTTCAGTACTCCGGAGAGGTCTCTGACAGCTGACTCTCCCAGCGCAATACAGCTTTTAAGGTGTCTCGACTGCTGGTACCAAGGGTGTTGACTGTGGATCCAAGCGAGATGACATTATTGACAGTTTCAATCTTTCTCCATCTATCGGGATGTTTCGGATTGGCCCAGTGATGAGCATTTTGGTTTTCTTAATGTGAGGCTGTAACCTATACTGAAGGCTGTGATCTTCTGCAGCAAATGTTTCGAACCCTCCTCACTTTCAGCAAGCAAGGTCGTGTCGCCTGCGTAGCGCAGGCTACTGCTGAAGCGTCCTGCAATTCTGACGCCACCTTCTTCTTCATAAAGTCCAGCCTCTCAACGGATTTGTACTGCCAACAGGAAAGATATTTAAACTCGTAGCTGAAAGTTTCAAATATGTTTCTAATTTTATGAAAAAGAAAATGTTGGCAGCTTTCTCTGAACTTTTCTTTGAATTATTTCAAGTTTGATAACACAGTGCATGCAGATATGGAGACTAAAATAATGAAACTGACTTTACAAAATTATTCTGTGATGAAAATCCACGGTCTGGAATAGTGAGGATTCCTACCTTGCTAGAGACGGGCCTCCTCCTGTGCCCCTGGGTGAGGACAGACGTGCCCTCACTGCCCTCTCACTGCTGCAGGCCAGCAGCTCTGGCTCAGGCCACCCCTCATGTGCGGAGTCCCAAGGCTCCTGGGACTTTTCAAAGCGGTGTCCTTCTGGAAGTAGCAGACACCGAGGCCCGTCTTCTTGGTTATTTATTTTTTACTTGAGTGAAGGTTTACCAATCATATTTGTTTTTCATACAATCACATATAGACATTTTATGACATTAATTACCACTGATGAATGTAATGAATTCATTAACCTGCCGTTAAAGAGCTCTGGGGCGGCGTCAGGAGCTGTGCTGTGAACCCACAGGCAGCGCCCCTCCGGCGAGTCGATTTCACCCGTGGCTCCTCGCGGGGTGGGGTGGGGGAAGGGCAGTCTCCTCTGTGTG